TTTTCTCATTTTATTCTTTACAATATTCAGTTTTTCCGTAGTTTATATATTACGGTTCTATTACTTTTAGCACATGCAGAAACCCACACGAACAATTTCGTTTTGTGAATTTCATACACGAACTATCAATTTTAAACTAATTACCATAAAACTATAAACGGTGTTAATATACGTTAACAAGTGTAGATTTGGTTTAATTTGGGTTAAATAAAACGAATACAAATATGACGTCGTTATGGTTTATTTTAGATCGTTTAAGGTTTCTAATGTGATGTCTTTGAATTAGAAAATGAATACGACGTATTTGGTCTGTAATGTAAAACTAAAGATGAAAATCTAATCCCCAATTTAAGAAGATCAAGAACAAAATGACGTCGTTCTTTATTTTGTTAATGAGAAATTACACTAAAATGACGTGTACTCATTTTATTTAAATCCATATTAAACCGGCTTTCCAGTTGTTAACAAATACTCCCTCCGTTTCAGAATATATGTCATTCTAGGCTTATTTTTTTGTCACAAAGTAAGTGTCGTTTTAAAGTTTCGAGGCAAAATTTATTAATTTTTTATAATATTATATTTTTCTATTGGTTGAAAAGTGGTTAAGTGTATAGGTAATTGTGTTTTTATCTTGGAAATATGTAAAATTAAATATTTCCTTAATCCGTGTGCAAAAATCTAGAATGACAAATAAAGTGAAACGAAGGAGTACTAACATTGTTTATGGATTTGTGAAAATTAGTTTAAAATTGATAGTTTGTGTATGAAATTCAAATAATGAAGTTGTTTGTGTATGAATTTCAAATGATGGAGTTGTATGTGTGGATTTCAACATGGGTTAAAAATATGTGTATGAAAAAGCTGTGAACAACCATTTTCCCGACTAATCAAAAAAAACTTTTAATGTGTCTCAACTGTATACTTCAAACTATAAAAATATTGAATCAGAGTTTTAAGTAAACTGGATAGAAGTTTTGGCAATGGGGAATGGTTTAGACTCTTTTCACAATCGTCTACTGAGTATATGAGTATGTGGCCTTCGGACCATCGGCCTCTTCGAATAGAGTTTGCACTCGAGCCTGAAAATTTGCATAGAGGACGATTTTATTTCGATAAACGTATGTTTGGTAAAATAGGGGTAGAGGAGGCCATTAGTCGAGGATGGGATGCAGAGAATATTAATTCCAACCTCAGTGTTTTAGATCGTATTGCCCGGTGTCGATCGGAATTGTCCAAGCTTAAAAGGACCAATGATTGGAACTCAAAAACAAGAATCGTACGGCTACAAATTGATTTGGACAAAGAAAGCTCAAAGCATTTTCCCATTTATAGTCTGGTACGGAGGCTAAGACAGGAATTGGCTACGGCCTTTAGGGAAGAAGAAATCTTCTGGAGACAAAAAAGCAGAGAGGAATGGTTACGGGAAGGGGATAGAAATACTACGTATTTTCATAATGTGGTTAAAGAGAAAAAAATGAGGAATAAAATTTTAATGCTTAAGGATATCTTTGGAAATGAGCACTATTCTGAAGGATCAAAAGGTCATATTGCTACTGAATATTTTAGAGATTTGTTTACTAGCTCCAACCCACAAGACTTGGAAACTTTGTTTGAAGGTTTTGATACTAGGGTCACCTCAGAAATGAACACTTTGTTAATCAAGAGAGGTATCACCTGATGAAATTAAAAAAGCAGCATTTGGGATTAAAAGTAGCAGCGCCCCTGGAGAGGATGGTCTTACTGGTTATTTTTACCAGAAATATTGGCATATTGTTGGTCAGAAGATTATTGATGATGTTCAAAGTTTTTTTAAAACAGCTATTCTTCCTAAGGGTTGAAACCATACACAATTATTTTTGTTACCAAAAATTCTACACCCTACGGAGATGAAGGATATGCGTCCCATTAGTCTTTGCTCGGTCCAATACAAAATCATTTCTCGTATTCTTTGCGACCGATTGAAAGTAATTTTACCTAACATAATTTCGGAAACCCAAGGGGCTTTAGTTGGCGGTAGGCTAATTACGGACAACGTCATTATAGCACATGAATTGGTACATGGACTGCGCACCAATGATAAAATTGGTAGGGAAAGTATGGCTATTAAGACAGATATGTCCAAAGCCTATGATCGGGTTGAATGGAATTTTCTTGAAATTTTACTTGAAAAAATGGGATTTGATCGGAAATGGGTCGTTTGGATTATGTCATGTATTTCCACTGTTACTTTCTCAGTGTTACTAAATGGCAGATCTCATGGATTCATTAAACCTGAAAGAGGAATACGTCAGGGGGATCCTTTATCACCTTTTTTATTTATTTTATGTGCTGAAGCATTAGTACATGTTCTAAATAGAGCTGAAGGACAAGGACAGTTACGGGGTGTAAAGTTAGCCAAAGATAGTCCTTCTGTGCATCATCTGTTATTTGCGGATGATAGCTTACTGTTATGTGAAGCCTCTATCAAGGATAGTGTAGAAATTCTGAATTGTTTGGAACTTTATGGGGCGGCTTCTGGACAAATGATTAATCCTCTAAAGTCTTCTATCATTTTTGGGAAAAGCGTCACTAACGATACAAAACAGGATATCAAGAGAATTTTAGGTATCGAGAAAGAAGGAGGGGAAGGTACATATCTTGGCCTCCCTGAATGTTTTCAGGGTTCCAAAATAAATCTGTTAAATTTTATCAAAGAGAAATTAGAAGGTAGATTACAAGGTTGGTATTCCAAAACCTTATCAATGGGGGCTAAGGAAGTTTTAATAAAATCGGTTACTTTAGCTCTCCCAATATATGTAATGTCAGTGTTTCGCCTACCTAAAGGTCTTTGTGAACGACTTACGAGTGCGATTATTGAATTTTGGTGGAGTAGTGGGGATAAAAAAAGGAAGATCCCCTGGGTGGCATGGGAAAAATTATGTAAACCAAAAGAACAAGGAGGTCTCGGGTTCCATGATATTGGTCGGTTCAACCAGGCTTTACTTGGAAAACAAGCTTGACGAATTTGGAATAATCCTGATTCTTTGGTCTTGCGCATTCTTAAAGGCAAATATTTCAAAAATGGGAATTTTTTGGACTGCGGCATGGGCACACGGCCATCGTATGCATGGAGAAGCATCATGCATGGTAGAGAATTACTAAAAAAAGGTTTATATCAACATATCGGCAATGGGGTTGATACCAATGTTTGGGCGGAAAACTGGATTATCGATACCATTCCTCGGCCACCAATGTATCGGGAAAATAGTTCCATAAATCTAGCGCTAANAGAGAATTACTAAAAAAAGGTTTATATCAACATATCGGCAATGGGGTTGATACCAATGTTTGGGCGGAAAACTGGATTATCGATACCATTCCTCGGCCACCAATGTATCGGGAAAATAGTTCCATAAATCTAGCGCTAAAAGTTTCCGATCTCTTTATTCCGGGTTCGAATCAGTGGAATACAACTTTATTACATCAAAATTTTACGGCAGAGGATGCTCAACGGAATTCACTTTTGAAACCATCATTGATGGTTGACGATACACTCAGATGGGGTTTCACAACAAGTGGTTCTTATTCGACTAGGAGCGGGTACAAGCTGTTAGAAGCTTTGGTTGAATATGATCATCCCTCAGGTCATTCCCTCACTCCTATTGAAAAACAATTATGGAAGGAGGTATGGAAAATTAAAGCTCCACCAAAAATAAAACATTTTATGTGGCGGGCTCTATCTGGTGCTCTAGCGGTGAAACAACGTTTGGCTACTCGGGGTATCCCGATAGACCAAACATGTTCGGTTTGCGGTACTGAGGCGGAGAGTATATGTCATGTGCTTTTTACATGTACGAAAACACGCATAACATGGCAGCAAGCTAATTTTCCATTACCTTTAAATGGCTTTTCTCGGAACTCAACATTTTAAAATTTTGTTCACCTAATTAAGAGTGCCAAAAACACAGCAGCGGATATATATACAAGGGATGTTTTTCCATGGTTGTTATGGGAAATTTGGAAAGCAAGGAATAATTTTGTTTTCCAAGACAAAGATACTGAGCCTTCTTTTATTGCTAAGAAAGCCTTTGAAGATGAATCAACCTGGTTTGATACATTCACCGACACAAAAGTGAATGTTGATGATGCTCCTCCAGCAATGTTTCGATGGAAACGACCTCCACATGGTTTCCTAAAATGTAATGTTGGATCTTCATGGTTAAGACCGAATTGCATTAGTGGTTCTTCTTGGATCCTACGAGATGAAAATGGATGTACACTCATGCATAGTCGGCGTGCTTATTCTTATATGCGTACAAAAGCAGAAGCCGATCTATGGTCTCTTTTCTGGGCTGTGGAATGCATCAACAATTTGCATTTCTCGAATATTATTTTTGAGACTTCCTCCGAGGACCTCCATGACGTTTTCAGTAATCCGGATAACCATCTCAGTCTCAGCCTTGTCCGCCACAATGTCTGCTTTCTGCTATCCAAGATTACTCTCTGGAGTCTATATCACGCACTCCAAGAACGGAATGAAGCTGCTGACGCTATTGCTATAAGTGTCACTCGTGATCACCGCCACCAGTCTTACATCGCCAGCAATGCTCCCGTATGGCTACACCATCTGCTCGCTCTGGAAGCCAAGCATTTAACGGTTGGATGAAGTTCTTTCTCCTTTTTATTTTGATGTCTACTGATATCTTTTTTTTCTCTTATGATTCTCTATCATTTTGTATTGTCTCGAATATTTTTACGTCTCAGTGTTATAAAAAAAAAGTAAATCTACACTTATTATTTAACAACCTAATCAAACAAGAAATTTGTTAGTTCCAAAATTATAATACATTTTGAAATTCATTCAAGACCATTAAGATTCATTAACATACACTGTAAAACAATACAAACATAAATACATAATAGATAATACACAAATACACTTTTAAAAGAAATTTTGATATAGACTTACCCAAAATTTAATAATGTGTAAATTTAAGAGAAATGGTCACTATATTATTATATAAACATAAAACACTTGTACTTTCAAAAAGTTAATACGATTTAATTATAAAATTTACACAGTGAGAAAATTGTGTTCTTCTATTTTGATAGTATATATTCTATTATTGACAAATCAATGTATTTAATAAATTATGGTATATATCTGATATATTGCTTTATGTTGCAACAGATGCACCGTTAAGTTTCCAGAAACAAAAAGCTCAATCACTCAAACCAGTAAAACACCATTAAAATATTTCCACTCGAAGAACAGCAATGATATTTAAACCTGGGATGTATGGACCATCTCCATTGTACAGCTGCACCTGGGAATGAGACCAGAGAATTTAACAAAGATAAATTGTTTAACAAAGATATTATTCAAATGAGTTACGTTCTTCTATCCCAAATTCCCAATTCCTAAAATATATATTTTCTTTAAAAAGACTTACATGCTAAGTATTGGCCGAATCAACTGCTCGAATTATTTCTCCGCCATCAGAAAGCGAAGAACATTCCGCAATGAACCCTCTGGAAATATGCATCGAAGGATTAGGGGGTATTTCAAGAGCATCCAAACTTCCATCCATCATGACGACCACTTTGTTCATGGGAGGACGATCCAATGGGCATGGTTGAATACACCAAAGACCAACCAAGACCATCTTTTTTGCAGTTTCTTTTTCTTCTCTGGTTATTTCATCACCAAATCTCCATGTTTGTTCTGCATTTTCAAGTTCCTTATAAATCCATTCCGGAAAGTAAGCCAAACTTGTATTGGAGGCAGCGGTTTCTACTATTTCTTTGTTCTTAGCTCCAACCATCTCCAGGACCAACATTCCATAACTATACACATCTGATTTATGAGAGACTCCGCCGTAAGTTCTTGAGAATACCTCAGGTGCAATATAACCTATAGTTCCTCTTGTGTCTATCAATGACACAATGCTTTCTCTTTTCTCACAGAGCTTAGCAAGTCCAAAGTCTGAGACCTTAGGACAAAGATTGTCATCTAAGAGAATGTTTTGTGGTTTAATGTCGAAATGCACGATTCTTGTTTTGCAACCATAGTGCAAATATTCCAATCCTTGAGCAATGCCTAGCGCGATTTTATTTAATGTTTTCACATCCTGAGTCGACGAATTCTCTCTAGATATGAATTGATCGAGAGACCCATTCTTCAAAAACTCATACACAATTGCTCTTTTGGAACCTTCGTAGCAGAAGCCAAGCAGAGAAACAATGTTTACATGAGATGTCTGGCTCATACTAGTGACTTCATTGATAAAATCTTCACCAGTTCCCTTTAAATCCTGCATGACCTTTACTGCAACCTTAACACCGTTAGAAAGCTTCCCTCTGTAGACAGTTCCAAATCCTCCTTTCCCAAGTGTGTGTGAAAATGATTTGGTGATTTTCTTTAGTTCTGCATAAGTGTACTGTTTTAGCAGTACCTTGAACGTGCCGGCTCTATTGTCCTTCCTTTTCTTCCTTTTGACCAACAAGATGGCGACAATAAAGAAAGTCACCAGCCCAATGGCAGAACAAACGGCTAAGATGATTATAAGAAAAACATCTAGCTTGCCGTCACCTCCCAACATTATTGGATTAATTGGAACAAGATTCTGTCCGGCGAGATTACCCCTAGAGTCATTAAGCTTAAAGATCTCTATACCATTCAGAATAGCGTCGTAAGAATACTGGTTGGGACACAAATCGAGTCGTAGATTAACTCTCTCTCCAGTTTTGCTTGTGTTTGAAGCCAAAAGTGTCCTGAAATCTAGATACATCGGAATCAGAGGGCCACCGCTCAATAAAATCACGTCGGTCTCAGCCTTAGCAATCTGATTTCCAATGATGATAGAAAACATGCGTTGGCCGGGTTTTGTTATTTTCACCATAGTCTCACAGAAATGAAGCCTAACGAGGTAGTTGAATCCAGCGTCGACCGGGAAGAGCCACGTCCAATTCAAATTCATGTGGTCCTTGGCGTCCGGTCTCACGTAAAGAGTTGTGTACACTTCCCTTGGCGCAACATAGGCCGGTGTTTTCTCCGTATAGTTGATCGTAAAATCCATTATATACACATTCCCCGAATCCCCAAGTGGGGAACCGTAATTGGGAAGCCACTGTCGGAACATTCCTGTGTCTTTGACGTTCATACCTCCGCCAACGTCGACTCGGTACACCGTCTCGAGTACTGTCGTATCGTCTATCTTAAAGTCACCGTTGCTACCAACATCTGTTATGTTGTCATCAAAGCCTCCCTTTGTGTAAAACCGGTCAGGCATGGAGACAATCTCCAGACCGTTGATGAAAGCTAACGAGTTTGGTGACGGCCTAAATGTGAGATTCAGCGTCTTGCTTCCACCCAAAACAGGGACAATAAACTCCTTGATTAGACGACCTGAGTCGGAAGAATTTACGCTGAAGTTCTTGAGGAGAGTGAACCCGTTGACGGTGACGGTGAAGAAGGACTTGACGGCGTCGAAATCCGATCTGTAACGGCTCGGAAAGAAATACAACCGGAGGAATTTCCAGCCGGAAGAGACTGTAAAACTGTAAGTAAATTTGGATCGGAATATTCGAACCGTCTTGTAAGGCACCGCAGGAACGTCTTTCCACAAAAGTTCACTTTCGGAAGCCTTTGAAGGGAATGACACGTTGACTGAATTCCACGCAAATACCTTCGGCTGCTCCGGCGTCCAGGTTCGGCCTCGGCTGTCGATGGTGTTGAAGGCAGTGCCACAGTTAATGAGAATGACATCTGTGGGTTTGTATGTTGCCGTTTCTCTATCTTCTCCAAAGAGAACAGAAAAAACAAACAAAACAGAGATCATTGTTTATGGAGTGGGAGAAGATAGAGATAGAGTGCATAATTCATAATTGTCTTGTGCCGACAAAAAAAGGTCTTGTAAGATTATGGGTAGGGCCGGGAATTTAAGTGGTTACCCGCGGCTCTGGCCCCGTTTTACTCGTCGCAAAGTGGGTGCCAGTCGACTGATTTAAAAATTTTGAATTCTGGATGCGGATTGAGATTATTTTAAACGTAGACCATATCTCTTAATACTTGTCCATATGACCATATCTAGATAATACTAAATGTAGAGTGATAAGCATGTGTAAATTAGGCATTTAGCTTTAAGCCATGACCATACTGCAACTTACATATCATAAAAGTTATGAGTCAATTAATTTTACAAAACTGTAGTTTAGCTGAGAAGTATCATAAAAGTTATGATTCAGTAACTTTTCACCACTGGAACATACAAGTTTGGTTCTCTAGAAAGATCTCAAAGCACACGTTCCTGACTTTAATTTCAGTTCGGCATAAACTTGTAACACAAGATAGGTTAAGACAATGGAGCAAAGTGAACATAATCATAGTTGTATATTAAAAAGAATCAACAACACTTTTTTTTTCTATGTCCGTGAAAGTCACACTTTTCTCTCTTGACTACTTGTTACTTATTCTTGGATTCACTCCATAAACAATAACCAACTAGGTGTTTTGCCCGCACTTGCGGGCATAATTCTCTTATGAATATTTATTAGTTGATGTTTCATTAATTTAAAAATTAGCATAGTAAGTTATTATTTATGTTTTCAAAAAATAAAAATCAAACTTCAAATAATTATCAATGACAAAACTCAAACATCATAAATATTTAAAAGAATATATTTCTATAACTATTTCTCTTGATTTATATTTAATTATAATATTTATAACAATATGATGCATAAGTTATTTATTTTCTGAAAATATAGTATGATAAATTTTTTTAACTATATATTAATTATATAAGATTATAGAAATTATGACATATAATTAAAATTACCTAAAATCATTGAGAACTTAATGAATAAGCAAATTCACTTCTTAAATATTTTTTCTTGAGTGATGATTTATATTTAATTAATAATAGATAATTTTCTATTTTACTTTTAAATTATATAATATAAAAATATATTTCCAAGATAACAACACAATACATAAGAATTACCATATTCTCTAATACATTATTAGTGTAAAATTATTTCAATTATAGAATAACTACAACTTTTTATATCTTACTTTTAGATTTCAAATAGAAAATATATTTTCAAGACAGTAGCTTAATTCATAAGAAGTATATTATTTTTTAAGAATTTGATACTATAAATATAAATTTTTTAAAATATATAATAAATTATATATAAAATTATATAAATTAATAAATTATCAAAATTACATAAGATCATGGAAAATATGACAAATCAGCAAACATCAAATTCACTTCTTAAATAATATTATAGATTTTTTACATGTTAATTTTAAATTTTATAATAGCAAAATATTTTTTTCAAGATAACAACATAATACATAAGAACTAACTTATTTTCTAAACTATCATATTATTAATATAAATTAGTTTTAATTATATAATCAATAATAAACAAATTATGGAAATTATGATAAATGATCAAAATTACCTAGGATCATGGAGACAAATTAACAAATTCACTTTTCAATTTTTTTTGATGATTTATATTTAATTATGATTTATATTTAATTATCAATATTAAATTATTAATATTAATTCCTTTTAAGTATATTTAAATATCAAATTATTAATATAAATTTGTTTTAGATAAATATAATAGTGTTTATATCTTAATTTAAAATTTAAGTTTTATATATAAAAATATATTTCAAGATAAGAACATAATTCACAAGAATTATCTTATTTACTAAAAAATATGATATATTAATATAAATTCGTTTTTATTAAATAATAAATTTTATATGCAATTATTTAAATAAGGCAAATAAACAAATTTACCTAAAAGAACATGACAACTTAACAAATTAACTTTTTAAATAATAGTATATATTAAATATTAAATTATTAATATAAATTCTTTTTAGATAAATATAATAGTGTTTATATCTTAATTTAAAATTTAAGTTTTATATGTGAAAATATATTTCAAGATAACAACATAATTCACAAGAATTATCTTATTTACTAAAAATATGATATATTAATATAAATTCGTTTACTAAAAATATTATATATTAATATAAATTCGTTTTTATTAAATAATAAATTTTATATGCAATTATTTAAATAAGGTAAATAAACAAATTTACCTAAAAGAACATGACAACTTAACAAATTAACTTTTTATATAATAGTATAGATTAAATATTAAATTATTAATAGAAATTCTTTTTAAATAAATATAATAGTGTTTATATCTTAATTTAAAAGTTAAGTTTTATATGTGAAAATATATTTCAAGATAACAACATAATTCACAAGAATTATCTTATTTACTAAAAATATGATATATTAGTATAAATTCGTTTTTATTAAATAGTAAATTTTTATATGAAATTATTTAAATAAGGTAAATAAAAAAATTTACCTAAAATCAAGGAGAACATGACAACTAAGCAAATTTACTTCTTAAATAATAGTATAGATAAAAACTAACATGTGTCATTTATTATTTATGAAAAAATTAACAATAATATTAATTACAAACTTTTTTTAACATTCTAAATTTCTAAACCATAAATCTTATACGTCAAATTCTAAACACTAAATCTCAAATTTTAGAATTAACACTAAACCTTAACTTATATTCTGAATTTCTAAACACTAAATCCTAAACTCTAGAACTAACCCTAAACTCTATAAACTAAGATTAACTCTAAATTTTAAGCTTCGTCGTAAATTCTAGGACTAATCCTAAACCCTAATATTAAACCTAAACCCTAGGGTTTAGGCTTAACTCTAGGGTATTTGATGCAGAGAGAATATTTAAGAAAATATCCTAAATACTTTAATTATGTTATAAACCATATTGTTGATTGCCATAACCAGAATCTAAACTATAACTTGAACCGGAACCAGAACCGGAACCGTACCGGACTGACCCATTAGAGGTTCTAAGTCGGCTAATATTTTCCTAATCCTTATTGGATTAGGATTTGGTATTTTTCCTACTCCATGTTGTATTAAGTTTTGTACTATTTCTTTTTTTCCTAGTTGGTTTAGGTTTTTTCTTTTCTATGAACTTGTAACTCCTTATATAATGGCACCTTATGTTTATGCAATAACTATATATGGGCCCGTGCGTTGCACGTATTTTATTTGATGCTTTAATATTTATAAAATATATAAAAAATAATAATTCATGTTATAGTTTGAGGATCTGTTTTGCATATGTTCTGTGAGATTTATTTTAGAAATTAAGAATTTGTTCTTCCATAAAGTTCTAGTTAGTATTAGTATTTTAATCAACACAGATTTTATTTGAGGTTTTAATTTTACAAAGAATATAGAATAATAAATTATTTTATATTTTAGGATTATTTTTATATATGTTGTGTGAGATATTTCAGAATTTTAAATTTGTTTACCCATATAAATTGTTGTTAATATTTGTATTTTAATAATCATTACCTAAATGTTTGAACCAAGTCTAATTTAAATTAAAAATTAAAGTGAAAAAATGAAAGTTAAATAAGTTCAATCAAGTTTATAACAATTACATACACTTGTTATGTACCAATTCAATGTTTGTTTTAACTTAGTATATGTTATTCTTATTGTTTAAATATATTCTGATGTTTATTGCTCATTTTAGTGAAATTTCTGTTGTCACTGTAAGATTATTTTAACTTTTTATGCATTTGTGACCATCAATATTTTTTGGTTACGTGATTTTGAATGTTTAATTATTCAACCATATAAGTAATTTGATCATCACTTTTATCATGTAATTAGTGATAATAAAACCATCAATACATGTATCTTATAGCCACAAATATTTATGTGCATGTTGAAGACTCTAAATAACGATTGTGTGAATAACCGTTTATAATAAAACATAATTTTTTAACCATAGTTTTTATGAAGAAAAAAACTATAATTTTGTGATGATAAATCCTAAAATAAATAAATAAATGTTTTTTATATATTGTAATAAGGTTAAAGAATACGATCTTAGAGGTATTTAAGAAGTTATTTTAATTTCATTTTAACTATATGACATTTAATATCATATATATCTTTTGCAATTTTTATATAATTTTATAAATTTATATTCATCCCTTAAATATTAAACCCTAAACACTAAATCATAAATTCAGATGTTATACGCTTTTTATGTAGTATTAAAAATGGTATTTAAGTTATAGTATTTCAAACAATTTCTTTAGTGAATTTATAACTTTTCCTATGTGTACTTAATTTATAGTTATTTTCGAATTACTTGTTTCTCATTTTAAATTAACAATAAGACCGTTTATTAAAATTATAAGTTATTAAATAGTTTTCTGAATTCATTTTAATGATATATTTTCATAATAACATTTTAATAAAATGAATTAGAAATACTATATTAAAACACAGATGTAATAAGATGACGATAAAACTTGATTTAATTTTGACTAAATGCATATAAAGATCATTTACGGTGATAATAATAATAATCTATTTTTATCACTAAACAAAAAAAATACCAAGCATGTGTTTAATTTTTGTATGACCAAACACATATAAAAACCAATATAAAGACTAATCACGAAAAACTCCTAATTTTTATTTTTTTTTAATAAAAATTTTTAGTATCATGTTTATCATCAAATATTTATTTTTTAAATTACTGTTAAATGATTTTTTTAAATTTTCATTTTCTTATGATTTAAGAAACATTATATTCTATAAATTTGTTTATTTATAACTTAAAAACAAACAAAAAATAATATCAAATACTATTTTAAATTTTTGTATAAGATTTTTAAAAAATAATGATTACTATCATAAAATCATTTACAGTTATCTTCGATTTAGAATTTCCAAAAATTAGATTACTATCAAAATATTATTGCAATACTATTAAATGATTGTAAAACTACTATTTTACAATTCGTATCACTACTATTTTTAAAATTAGTTTTTAATTAAATAATTTAACATTTAGGCATAAGCACAATGGTACATAAAGACAACAAATTGACACAGACATTAACTTACCTACAACAGCATAAATAATTTTATAGTATCGATAATAACAAACACACATAAACATAATAGACACATTAACTTACATACAATATCAAAAGCTACATACAAACACTAAGTATAAAACTGCAATAATAAACGTACGGCAACATGACAAATATGACAACAATAAAAAAACACCTCCGGTTTAAGCATAAAAGAGCATAATAAATATTTGAAATAATTATTCTACAAATATTATTTGTTAAGGATTTGAAAAAAATAAAAATACTACTAAAGATACGTTTATAACTTTCTTATGTTCACGATTTCAAAAATGATAATTACTATCAAATATTTTTTCCAATTACCATTTCTTCAGGATTTTGCAAATCTTTTTTTATTAATTTTTTTAAAACAAAATGGTTTAGAAAAATTACTATTAAATAATTTCTAAAAATTGTAAAAATTGCTTTCATTATCTTAGTATATATATTTTGTTAATCATGATTAATTTTAACATATATAAAGTTTTATACAGAAATTACTATCAAATAATCTTTCACAATGATTTTTTTCTTTAGGATTTTAGAAAAGAAAACTACTAATATATAATTTATTTTACGGATATTTTTGATTTGTAAAAGGAAAACTACAATTAAACACTTTTTATTATTTTTACTTTTCAAAAATATTTTAAATTAATATGTTAAAAATTCCTTTTTATTATTTTTTTGTCAACCGCCCATCTAAACTAGATCAAGTGGTGACCAGTCGAGCCGATTCTCCGAGGAGGATCTCTGTCTGGCGAAGTCTGATCTATATGGGAAAATGTATATCCTCTATTCCTTGCTTCTTTTGCTAGCGCGTCTGCTAGACCGTTCATATTTCGGGGAATATGAGACAAATTCACATCCTCGAAATCTTCATATAATCTCTGGAACACTTCAATCTATGTCCTGAAAGTCGGCCAATTCTCCAGGTTTGTAGTCATATCCACTAGGTCCGAGCAGTCCATCTCGAACTGTATCGAAGTTGTTATTATATCTCTCATACATGAGGCTTCCTAAAGTAACCCTTTCATCTCAGTATGCAAAGCTGAGAGGCTTCTTCTGCACGCTCGTAATCCGTAGACTTCAGAACTCATTTGATCCTTAAGACTCCACCCTAGGCCACTAACACTACCATTATCGATCCATGACGCATCAATTTGTTAGGTAGGGATTCGGGGTATCCAAGGGGTACTATCTCAACATCTGTAATTGGAGGGTCGTCATGATCCTCGTTTACCTCGTCCCTCTCATTAGCCTTCCTCCAACATTCTACCTCAAGAGACGCGTGTTGAAGAGTATCAGTCGGGGATACGACTTTCCCATTAAAGAGTTTGTCGTTCCTCGTCTTCCAAATGTACCAACAGATCCATTGAAGGGATATATGATACATTGAAAGAGTGTGCAGTTATTAGTAAATCAGCTGGGGGTATAGGTGTTTCAGTTCATAACATCCGAGCATCTGGAAGTTACATTCGTGGCACTAATGGAGAATCTAATGGTATTGTTCCAATGCTGCGTGTATTCAATGACACTGCTCGTTATGTTGATCAAGGAGGAGGCAAGAGAAAGGGTATTATACATTTCATTGCTACTATTATCATAATAGTTTCTCAGTTCCTAGTTCTGTCTTGTCTTATGTATATTTATTTGCAACTGGTGAAGGAGCCTTTGCTGTATACCTGGAGCCATGGCATGCTGACATTTTTGACTTTCTCGAGCTACGGAAGAATCATGGCAAGGTACCCTCGCGAGATCACTCACTTTCCTTACAATATAATCTTGAGTTTGTTTAATACACTCTTACATGACACTTTTATTTTATCTTTTCAATTTCAGGAAGAACACAGGGCTAGAGACTTGTTTTATGGTCTTTGGATACCCGATATTTTCATGGAAAGGGTCCAGAGTGATGGGCAGTGGTCACTCTTTTGTCCTAATGAAGCTCCAGGTCTGGCAGATTGTTGGGGTGCAGATTTTGAGAGGCTTTACAGTCAGTATGAGAACCAGGTGAGTGATTTAATCTTAGGGTTAGTACTTCATTTGAGAATTCAAACTCGTACGATCATAATACTCCCTTTTCTATGTATCTTTTTATCTTTAGGGTAAGGCTAAGAAGGTTGTCCAGGCACAACAGCTCTGGTACGAAATCTTGACATCCCAAGTTGAAACATGGACACCGTACATGCTGTTTAAGGTAAAAAACTGTCGTAACTATTTAGCCACACTCGGTATAACTATATAACCTGAGGTTCTCACTCTTCATTGTTGAAAATTTACTGTAGGATTCATGCAACAGGAAAAGCAATCAGCAAAATCTGGGTACCATTAAGTCTTCCAATTTATGCACTGAAATCATCGAATACACAAGTCCTACAGAAACTGCTGTGTGCAATCTTGCATCTATTGCTCTACCCCGATTCGTTAGGGAGAAGGTGAGTTGATAAAGGTGTTTCAGTGATTGATATTACTTTTGTCACTTGGTGCATAACTCTTGACATGTCTATCACCTCATAACAGGATGTCCCCTTGGACTCACATCCATCTAAGATTGTAGGCAGTTTGGGCTCTAAGAATCGTTACTTTGATTTTGACAAACTAGCAGAGGTCAGCGTTTAATTACTTATCTCATTTAAATAAGTTTTCATGTTTGTAATTTTGATATTGATTTTTTAAAATTATATTATGTTTCTTCAGGTGACTACAACCGTTACTGTTAATCTCAATAAGATAATAGATGTGAATCACTATCCTGTGGAGACAGCCAAAACTTCAAACATGCGTCCTAGGCCTATCGGTATTGGTGTACAAGGCCTTGCCGATGCATTTATTCTTCTGGGAATGCCTTTTGATTCCCCTGAGGTAAACTTTTGAATTAACCTTTCAAAGTAGTTTTGTTCTCTGGTCTGGTCTGAGCAGGTTCTTGCAATATTCTCAGGCTCAACAACTGAACAAAGATATATTTGAAACCATTTACTACCATGCACTCAAGTCATCTTCAGAGATTGCTACAAAGGAAGGTACATATGAGACATACCAAGGAAGTCCTGTGAGTAAGGTATGTATCTTTTATATATCTGTTCAAGATTTTCATAAACTCTTGTTGCTCATTGCTTTGATGATTCTCTTAGGGTATTCTTCAACCTGACATGTGGAATGTAATACCTTCGGACCGGTGGGACTGGGGTGCTCTCAGGGATGTGATTTCAAAAAATGGAATTCGAAATTCCCTTCTAGTAGCACCAATGCCAACTGCTTCAACCAGCCAGATTCTTGGGAATAATGAATGTTTTGAACCGTACACCTCAAACATTTATAGTCGCAGTCTTGAGGTATGCTGAATAAAGAGTACACCACAAAGTTATGTTTCTGGTTTTCTCCATTAGGCTCAATCATTGGTCTTTTACTGTATTTTTCAGTGGTGAATCCGTAGTTGTGAACAAGCATCTTCTTCATGACTTGACTGACATGGGACTCTGGTCTCCTACTCTAAAGAACAAGATAATATATGAGAATGGTTCTGTTGTAAATGTCCCGGAGATTCCCGATGACTTGAAAGCAATTTATAGGTATAGAGATTCTTCATTCTTTTATGCTCGATCACACTTTGTTCAAATTTGTTAACCTGTGAAAATGACTCAGGACTGTATGGGAGATAAAGCAGAGAACAGTGGTTGATATGGCCGTTGATCGTGGATGCTTTATTGATCAAAGCCAAAGTTTGAATATACACATGGACAAACCCAACTTTGCCAAACTCACTTCCTTACACTTCCACACTTGGAAAAAGGTAACAACTTACCTATAAGCTTGACTTTAAACTCTGAATAGGAATGTTTGATGAATCTGTTCAATATGATATCATCGCTTCATGAAACTCACTTGCTCAGATTCAGTAACCTGACCTCACAAAATTGTACTTTGTTGTGAATTTTGAAAGGGTTTGAAAACGGGGATGTACTACTTGAGATCACGTGCTGCAGCAGATGCAATTAAGTTTACAGTAGACACAGCAATGCTAAAGGTAAAACAACCAACACTTTTGTGTGTCAGAGTAGTTACTTAGTCAGCGAAGTTAACATTTTGCCTGTGCTGCAGGAGAAGCCTGACGTGACCGAAGGATCAAAAGAAGAAGACGATGAGACGAAGATGGCACAGATGGTTTGCTCTTTGACAAACCGTGAAGATTGTCTCTCTTGCGGAAGTTAAAACACAAAGAAACAATAGAAAGTTGATCAAAACACCTCTTTTACACTTGACTTTTTTCGATGTTGTTTTGTGTATGTGTTAAGACACAATATAATGTAAACTAGTTCTAAAAGGTTGTCTTACTATTCGTTCGGGAAAGTTAATGTAGTCTAGATGCTTGCATGGTTGTGCAGTGAAATATCTATCTGCGGTAGAAGCTTAGGTAAATTTTCTCGAACCTTTGTCTTTTTGTACCTTTGCACATGACTCTTATCTGACATCCGAGTCAAGTTCGAGCTCGAATTTTTGGTTCAGCACTTGTGGGTATGTAAAGGATAAGTCAACAGTTAATTTATAGAAGTTATATCCTAAAAGAGCTTTATGTGTATTTCGTTTTCAATCAAACCGCACATGTCACATGAGCAACCCTTGATTTGAATAAAAAAGATCGAATACGAGCACACAAGAAACAAAAGCATAAAAAGAGAAAGTTCTAACTCCTTTTGAAAAGGATACCGAAAAGGAGTATAGCATAGTGTTATGGTTCAACTTCAACAAAAAAAAAACTTAATAAACCTCTTCAGCTAAATCTTTTACTTCCAAACAAGGAACACTTTTTGAAGAAAAAAGCTCAAGCTTGGCGGTTTCTTTGCTTGGCCCCGGACTTGGCAACCCTAATGCTTTTGCTGATGACACTGAGTCTAGCAAGAGCGAATTTCTTCAAGTCTGGCCTGTAGTAGTTGTCAACCACCTGATTCAATTTCACACAATTGACCCCGTTACGACTAAATTAACACATGTAAAACCAACACAAGAATGACATTATTAAATGTCTACGTGAGACAAACGACAAAAAAAATTATCATAAACATAATCATTATGCAGAGATCAATGCCAAAACCCAAGTTTCACAGTTCATCTAAGAACACCACCAAAAGATCCTTATATTCATTCCACATAGAAAATAAACAAATATCTCTATCACCATGCCTTGTTACCATCTGATATACCCATGAACTCTCCACTCACAAGTAGACTAATAGAAGACAAAACCTATTACCACAACATAGACACAGAAACAAACATCTAAAAATAGTAGAGGCAGCACAAACCTGGTTAGCAACAGCCTTGGACATCCTGGGGAATTCCTTCTTAAGGATAGACTTGTTGACAGAGACCTTAGGCTTGTTCTGCTTCTTGGTCTTGGTGGTGGCGAGGACAACACCTTGTTCCTTGTCAGCTGGCTGGATAGTCACCGTCTTCTTGTTAGCAATACCTGAAACCAAGACAAAACATAGAGACATTAGTCCAGTTCAAGCAGCCATCTCAAATTTTGTACAAGAGATATAAAGTAGCCACCTTTCTCATTTAGACACAATCATATTCGAGAGTAAACAAGGTGATCGAACAAGAGAAAGACAAATAATATACTGAATCATATACCAGAGTGCTTGTAGGAGTTAAGGTTGCAGAGATTGTTCTTCTCCTTGCTGAACTGAACCTTAGCGTTGCCTCTTCCGAACTGTTTGACCAGGAAACAGTTGTTGGTCTTAACGATCTCCCATATCAACTGTCCTGGTACTGTCGCCATTTTTCAAAACCTAACTAACACCAAACCAATCGAAATAGAAACGAATAACTAAATCAACAAGAAGAGATCGATTTAAATGCTACAGAGAATAATTGAGATTGGATCTAAACGCTCACCGAGGGAGGGAGAGAGAGAGTGATAGACTCGGGTTTAAATGGTGTGATGATGCCGGAGCTTTTTTGATACGACGATCAAACTAATTTAATTTATATATGACCTTCGTAAAACAAAACCCTAATGTAAACGAAAAGTCTATAGTGCCCCTAAACATCCCTAAATATATCGATAATGCCACAAATCGTTAACATTTGCTCAGCTGTTGGACGAAAGTAGAGGGTTTTAGATCCTTTGATTCATTTCTTCTACAGAAGAACTTCGACGAAATCGGATATAGAGAGATGGGGAGGAGGATATTGAACGACGCGTTGAGGACGATCGTGAATGCTGAAAAGCGAGGGAAAGCTTCTGTGGAATTGAAGCCTGTCTCTACCGTTATGTCTTCCTTCCTCAGAATCATGAAGGAGAAAGGTCAGATTTTTCACTCCTTGAAGATCCAAGTTCTTGTTTTAGATTCATCAGTTTGGTTCGACATTGACTTCACTTGATTTTCTAGTTCTGTGATTTACTTATGAGCGCCTCTTTGTTAGTCCTTGAAGCATTGCCATGTGTGTGATTTCCCGATGTAAATGACTAGTAACATCGTCCAAAGATGATATTTTTTTTTTTATTGGTTTGGAAGTGAAGTTGCAGACAATTGATAGTTCATTTTTTAACTCATTATGTTGATCTACTGTTTGAGAAAGACATGTCTGCTCATTTTCCAAGTCTATTGTCTAGTTTACGCTTGTTTGGATTTGCGTTTTGGGTTTACTTGATCTTGTTTTTGGTCTGGCTGATGTTTGTAGATAATATTTCATGTTTTCAAATTTGAATGTTTTTCTTTGTTACAGTCACAGAATTTATGTTTTTTTATGTATGTACAACAGGTTACATTAAAAACTTTCAAGTCCATGATCCCCACAGAGTTGGAACAATAACTGTTGACCTTCAAGGAAGGGTCAATGATTGCAAAGCTCTCACTTATAGGCAAGACGTCAAGGCTAAAGAGATTGGACAGTACACTGAACGCACTCTTCCAACACGCCAGGTTTTTCTTTCTCCCCTGTCATATAATCCTGATATTTGCGGTAACTCAACCTTGTTTAATCTGTTATGTATCCAGTGGGGTTATGTTGTAGTTACAACTCCTGATGGCATTTTGGACCATGAGGAGGCTATCAAGAGGAATGTTGGTGGTCAGGTTCTTGGTTTCTTCTATTGAATTGCCGATATTGAATATCGCATGAGGTTCAGCTTCCGAGAGAACATGTCATTTGTCTGGTTTTTTCATCATTACTTGTTTGTTTCTTGCACTTGTACCTAAGCAAAATGGCAAAATATTTAAACAAACTTTATATCTGGTTTTACAACGTTATACAATCTTTAGCTTTAAAAAGTTGTGGCTGTTCTTATTCTGTCAATAAACACTAAAAGGAATATAGGCAAAAAGAAAAAAGAAAAACAAGCAGTCACACCAAAGCTTCAAATCTGTATAAAGTGAACGAATATCAAATTCAGTCAGAGTAAACATCAAAAAGAAGAAAAGAGCAAGTATTATATAACACTGCTTCAATTTGTATAATGTGTAAGAATATCAATTCAGTCAAGAGTAAAGAATGACTGGGACTGATCTTTGTGACAAAGTGTAAATGTATGAACAGACGGGTGATGAGCAGATTCAACGGCGGTTAGGAGTACGAAGAGCTCCAAGCCTTGCAAAGATATCATCACAATCCGGGAGGTTGGGATGAACATGACTAGCTCTCTCCCTTGAAGGGGTTTCTGGATCTGGTGACTTTACAGTTTGTGTAACAGAGCTTGAAGTTACTTCCGTCTTTTGCCCTGAAGTTGATTTTGGAGATGGCTGGTCATGAAACTCTTGGTTGGTTCTCGTTGTTGTGACTGGAAACGAACGCTTCTCATGAGGTTTCACTTGCCCCTTAGTCCTTAAAGAGATCCCGGTTGTTTTAGCTGGCTTGGCACTGACTCTTTCGACTTCTTCATCATCTTCATACGGGGTTGAAGCTGGGATCTTAAAGTTTGATCTGTTTTGATCTCTCACCCTCGTTGTTGCCTTATGAGTCTTCTCTTGACTAAGTTCTTCCTCTGAGTCATCATGACTGAAATAAGAATGACGATATGAGGTTTGAGGCTTTGTTTCTGTTCTTGAACGAAGTTGGATCTCTGAGTCATCATCATCACTAGAAGATGGTTGTGGTGGCGTGGAGCTTGGTCTCTTCTCGGTAATGCTTGCTCTCTTAGTGTAGATATCTTTTCTGCTACTTCTAGGAGTAGACACCGACTTGCCAGCATCAACAGTTCCATTATGTTCCTTTCCAGACTTGGACGATGTCTCGTTTCTTGCCAGGCTCATTCTGTATGGTGGGAGTGTCTTTTTGTTCCTAAATCCACCGACCAAAGGTTTAAAACTCAGACCAGTCTGAGCATCTGCGTCAGAATCTGATTCTCCCTGTGCCCTTGAATCATCTTTGTGGTTATCTGTCTCTACAGGATCAGAGACTTCAAGCTTCTGAGATCGATGAGATGTCAGATTCATCGTTTCATCTACACCTCCAGAAACAATACCTCTGTGTCTTGGCTGATCATCTTCGCTTTCTGAATTTGGATCATAATTGTCAAACTTAGCATGCCGGTCCGGCTCATGGTAAGAAGTATGAGGACTAGTAGAGACATCATCAAATAATGGAGAACTTGGTCTCTCTTGGAAGACTTGTGAGCTTTGATTTCCATGAGACTTACTATGGTCACTTTTGAAGCTCCATGATGCAGCTGGTGTTGACATAAGATTAGGTGCGTTGCTGCCAAGCAATGAGAATCCCACTCCATGATCATACTCATCTTCAGCATCGAATTTAGGTTTATCAAAAAAGGAGCTATAATCATTAAAAGTATCAGTATCATCATGTCCATGATCATGGAAATCTTTTTCTTTAAAGCTGCTCTGAGATTGGTGATCGTATTCAGTGGCAAAAATGTTTTCCTCCACGGCTTTTGGTGACTTCGTAGAGTCTGTGTCAGTGACATGCTCATCAGAATAATTGCTCGAATGTGAATGAGATGAAGCTCTGCTTGACTGCTTCTTGAACTGAACATCTTCAGAGTAACCAACATTTAAATCTGTCTGCTCATCATCCCTTGGCTGCTTCTCTCTACCTGTTTTACCAAAGGAACTGTTCTTTCTCGAGTTATCCAGGTGATTCCTTTCTGATGGCTGAACTACAGGAGGAGGAGAAATCTCAGACTCCTTTGCCCTACCATATCTATCTTGTTGGGTTCTGTCCAGATCTTCATTCTGCATCCTAAAATTGTGTCGTGGAGATAAATGATCTTCAGAAACATTCGATCTGTTACGTCTATGTGAAGGCTCGTTTCTGAAATTTACAGATGCAGAGGATATATGCGACTCTGATGAATTCTGCCTCGTCATCCTTTCTTTGCTCGAAAGTTCAGCAGCTGCTCTAGCAGCAAAACTTGCTCTCTCAGCGGCTTCAGCAGCCGCACGTGCAGCATCTGTAGAATCAACAAACTCTGTTTCCCACCTCTGCTTACTTCTTGAAGATGAATTTTCATCACCATGATTTGGATTTCTACATTCTCCTTCATCAGGCCTAGACCCTGTCAAACAAAACAACTTCTTTGAATGATTCATATCAAGAGACTAAACAGAAACAGCAGGAAGAAAACCACTTACGAGAAGGTCTTGCATTTGGATGATGATAGTCATTAGCCATCTTAGAAGTAACATTGTCGCTACGGCTTGAAGATCTTCCATCACTTGCATAATAAGAGTTCTCTGATGAATGATGCCTTTCGCTTGACCCATGTTGAACATTGACAGGAGCTGGAGCTGGAGCTTGGACGCTTGAATATTGTTCCTTGTTTGGGATTCTAGATGAATCCACAACGTTTACACTACTTGCTGACTGAAACGAGCTTGCTCCACTCTAAAACACAAGTAAAGTAAAAGGTCAATGATGCCTTAACACTACAGACATGTTATTATTATTACTTACCAGCAACTGGTCTTTTGGATCCGGTTCAACAAAAGACTTTGCCTCCCATACAACATTATGCTCCTCAGCTATCGCCGTCAAAATCTTGACCTTTGTTGGACCATCAGGGGCTTTGACAGACAATTTATCCACCAACTAGAGAGATAAACAATATCATAATCAAAAACAATTCTTAATACAAAATCAACACAAAGAAACAGGATGCAACCACTTACCAGGCGACTCACACCAGAATCTGGACGCAACTCAATAGCAGAGGTAGCAAAATCCTTCCCGTATTTGGTAGTGAATTGCTTAACGATTTCTGAGAGCTCAGGGACATCTGATAACCTCTGGGAAGCAAATAAGACGCTCGCAACCGCTTCTTTCAGATCAATGGGGCAGTTTCTGTAAGTAAATATCACAAACAATCAAGAACATTATACATAGAAACAAAAACAAAGAATGTATAATAATGAGTTCACCAAAAGAAGCAAACTTTTGCTTACTTTTGAGACTCGATAACACCTAAACGAACAACAATGAGTTCGCAGTAGATCCCAATGAGTTCATAAGCAGCCACTGTCTTCTCTTCCCTCACCACATGTTCCACCTGAAACATAACCAACCAGATTCACAATCTCATCAACAATGTGATCAATACACAACATGATTGAAACCGAAGATTCAGAGTTGTTCTTACCCGAATTCTAGCGGTGGGTGTGTTCCCAGCTTCGAGCAATTGAGCTAACTCTCGCCTCAGCTGTTTAATCTGAATCTCCTTTTTGTTCTTGAGGATCTTCAGGCGTGAATTCGCCATTTGTAAAGCTGTTTTGCTACACACACAAATATACATATATAAAGTCAATAAATCAACATAAATAAGGGATGAAACAGTAACATCCGAAAGACTCCTAAGTTCATCAGGTTTGATCCTAAACAACAAAAGCAAGAATCATAGCAGAATCTGTAATGTTTTAACAAATATTCTCAAACAAGAGGAATCGAATTTGTACCATTTAGCAGGCTTAAAGCCTCGATGAAGAACCTTCTTCATGCTTAGAAAAACAAAACGGAAACCGTTCGATCTAAGAGAAACTGGTTGGAATCTGGCGAAAAGAAACAAGAGCGAAACTAGGGTTTGGAATTTTCCTAGGGGACAAACGCAGAAGAAACGTAAATTGTTTGATTCAGAGGAAGATGAGAATATAATATTTTAGGTTGGACAATGCCATTAATATATGTTTTGTCAACGACGTGTAAAGAGAGAACCGTGTAATAAAATTATAAACCAAGAAAGGAATAGGAAAGTTCCATAAGTTTTTAATCGGACCTAATTAACCCTTTTTCATAGGGAAAATCGCATTTTAAACCTCCAAAGTGTCAGCACTAGCACTTAAAACCTCCAATTTTTTTATTATCACTTCAATACCTTAAGTTGATAAACATTGAAGTCGTTTCCCGCGCTTGAGCCGCCAACCCACTTAACGTCACTGTTCACGGCGTTTACCATACTAAAAACGTATGTCGTTTTAAATTAATAAAAACAGAACTCATTAAAAAAATAAGTATTAAGTCTTCTTCTTCCCAAATCGATTTGGGGATCTAGGATTTAATCCCAATTCGAGTTCAAAAAAAAAGAGGAGCCTTGAAGACGAAATTGACGAAGTGAAAGCTTTGATGAATCGTAGCAAATATGGGGTAAGGATCTATTGAGTTGTTGTTTTTTTCTAATTTCTTTAAATATTTGAGTTGTTAATCGAGTAAACCATTGATTATAGGAAAGCACTTCAATACCTTAAGTTGCCAAACTTGTCCAAATAAACATTGAAGTCGTTTCCCGCGCTTGAGCCGCCAACCCACTTAACGGCACTGTTCACGGCGTTTACCATACTAAAAACGTGTGTCGTTTTAAATTAATAAAAAAAAACCCACTAAAAAATTATTAAGTCTTCTTCTTCCAAAATTGATTTGGGGATCTAGGATTTAATCCCAATTCGAATTCAAAAAAAAGGAGGAGCCTTGAAGATGAAATTGACGAAGTGAAAGATTTGATGAATCGAAGCAAATATGGGATAAGGATCTATTGAGTCGTTGTTTTTTCTAATTTCTTTAAATATTTAATCGAGTAAACCATTGATTACATGAAAGCAACAGAAATCGAATTGAAAATTCATTATGGTGGTACGAGCTCTGCTTACTTAGCAGCTCACAAACAAAGATCCCCTTGTCAAAGAACCGGAGACCACCGAGGGAGACGAAGCACGACCACTTCGCACCAGATAAGAGATCATTGTTGTTAAACTCAACATGGAAAAACAAACTCCCAGATCTACAATAACTGCATGAGATATCAAACAAAGAGGACATCAATTAAAAGAGCAGAGAGCTTCAGACTTTCTCCCGAAGGCAGTGAGATAAAACGTGTTTTCATGTTTTTATTAATATAATAGTAAATTTGGTCCACACATAATAAAAAGTCTGGTTGTTTTAGTTGAGGGTCATAATAAACAAATCACAGATCAAATGTACACCTCAAATTGGAAGTGTCTCCAGCGTAATATGAAAGTTGAAATGTGCCTTTGAGAGTAATTTTTTCTTACATATTTGGGGTAGAAACAGGCCTCACAACTGTACGGCAGAACCAAAAACCTAAATAAAAACGAATAGAGTTTGTTAGATATTCAAATGGATCCTATATCTCTATTAAAAAAAAATTGAATCCGAATCCAAAACCAAAACCGAACGAAACCACCCCAATTCAAAAATATAGTTTATATACTCTAAATTATTAATTATATTTAATTATGAAATAACAAATATTCTAAAAACACTATTTATAAACTGAATTACCATAAAATGAATTATCCTAATGTTTTTTATCTGAAATATTTCAGACTATCCTATATTTTATTTTAAAAATTCAAATTACCAATTCTTTTTTCCAAAAACCTGAATTATTATAAAACTTCACCTAAAATAACTGGAACCGAATTGGACTCAAAATTTTCTTGGATATGAGCGCTTCTTCAATATTAGTAACCAGACCAAACTGTAAACCCAAAAAAAAAAACTAAAACCAAACTGAGTATTATAAATATCCGGACGGATTTCAGATTTCTAAAACCGTAAAAACTGAACCGAGAACCAAAACCGAAATGCACAATCCTAGTAAGAAAGGGTAGCTCGTATTTCAACATTGAGAAGTTTTGATCTAGAGAAGCATTCACATCATAGATATCGCACATTCACATTTTTAATAAAATTACATACTTTAGTTCTCTTAAACCAGATAAATCATATTGACGTATCTACAACACCGTTAGGTTAGGAATATTAACATGTCACGGTTGAAACTGTTAGGTCAGGAAATCACACATGTCATGGTTGAGGTTGTAACTTGTAGACAGAACTATTGACATCAACACCCAATACACACAATTTTTTAATCGTTTTTATAAACTAAAACTTGATCATTTTGCCTCAATTTTTATCAAATTAAGCAAATTTTAATAATTAATATAATTGTGTTTTACTTCGAATATTTTTCCAATAGTATTAGTGTATTAAAGTATAAACCCGACCGTTAATCCGAGTTAGAATTAAAGGTCATGTTCAGGTTTTAATCGAGTTAACCTACTGGTTAATCTGGTTAAACAAAACATAATATATGAATTACATGTAATTTTGTTTATTTTATACAAAACAAATTGTGGAGATTAATCATAATAGTAACTAGTAGGATGTACTGGGTGCTGATACTAATAGTATAGTGGGACAATTGATGTCATCAACGTTTGCATGGACTTTGATTATATTTTGTATGTATTAAAAGTTTCTAGAACTATTTATGACGACCAAGAAAGCTTGACTACTCTTCTTACACAAGAACTAATATCAAATCTGAAGCATGTACAATCCATCAATTTAAGACGAATCAACAAAAAACAAATTGAGATCTGAAAAAACTAGAGGCGATGAGCTTTACATTTTATAGAGGATATAAGAAGGGATGGCATGATCTATATTAGTGAAAGGATGAGACAATGCTTTGAGAAATGTTGGTATCAGCTGGATCATAATCCATAATTTGGAAGTAAGAATAGAAAACGACTTTCCAACCAAAACTAGCAAATCACATAGTGCCTTATAGTATACAAGAATAACATCTTTAAATCATTTATGCCAAGCTAGCTGAGACTTGCAGTGGAAACAGTTACCAGTAATCACCACCACCACCAAAGAATCTTTTAAGACTACCAATGACCAATTTGATGCCTTCTAAAACTCAGAGCTTGGTTCTCATATCATTGCCTAGTTGACTGAACATAATGTTGATATCCATTCCTTGATTCACCCTTGGTATGACTACCAAGTAATGGCTCTGTTTGGAAAATCCAACCTTTTGTTTTTGGATTGTTTTATCGATTTGCTTAGCTTTTTTACACATTTCTGGAACTTCTTATGGCAGCTTATGTTAGTCATACCTACCCAAAATGAGGAAATGAATAATCAAAGCGTAAGAATGCCAAGTGTGAACTAGAGACCAAAGGTTTAAGCATTTGCAAGTCGTTAGAACTATAGCATAAGCAAAATGAACATGTAAGTTTTAGATCACTAAACTAAACACAGTATCATCATAAGAAGAAATCAACAAGGAAATATAAAGGACCCCTAGATCAATAAAGTTACTTAAGATCACCTGATCATACTTGATATCATAGCACTCTGCACTATTAAGCCATTTGTTGAGAGAGATCGAACATATCAAAGACTATCTACATTCTCAAAACCAAGGTCTAATTTTACTTGCATACTAAATCTGTAGCCAGTAAAAATGTTAGTTTCAGTTTATAATTCTATTTTCATATAGGAATATAATGTGCATATAATTCTTCTCACAATACAACAAAAAACAATAAGAACTATTATGAAATCTGAAGCGTGTGTACAATTCAGGAATATAATGTGCATATAATTCTTCTCACAATTCAACAAAAAACAATAAGAACTAATATGAAATCTGAAGCGTGTGTACAATTCATTAATTCAAGATAAAAATGAGATCTGAAAGAAAAAGAGAGGATTTCCCAAATATAAACCACACCTTTATTACCAAATAAATTTATTATAAAATTATTCTCTCAAGTCAACAAAAATAAATACATTTCGAATTAAATTAGCTGAACTAGATCAGTACAATTCAGATCAGTATATAAACCATACCGGTTTGGCTTAATGATAGATTGTTGGTGCTTCCAACCGTTTACAAATATCTTGTTTCAGGAGAAGCATTTCTAGTTAGCTGTTGGAGCCTTGATAAAGAGGATCTTAAAAGAAACTAAACTAAGATATTTAATGTTTGAGACGACTAGAAATGTAAATAACATATGTTCTCACATATAGAGAAATATAGTCATAGAAAAAATAAAATAACAACTTAACATAAAAACATTGAATCAGAAAAGTTAAAGCTCTAGCCAAATCCTAGAAGAATTTATCGACAACTTGAAATGAGGGATGTAATTCTTATTGCTGGAGACCCACTTGTAGACTGAAATAAAGAGGACAAGGAAATGACTATGGTAATACTCAAACATAACTCTTTAGTGTTTCCTAGGAAATTCCTTTCTTTATCCACATCATATTATCTTGTATATTCACTCTTTTTAAGAAATTACGTACCTCTTTTTTAAACTAGATAAATCATATTGACGTATCCACAACACCGTTAGGCTAGGAATGTCAAGTCATGGTTGAAACCGTTAGATCAGGAATACTAACATGTCATGGTTGAAGTTGTAATTTGTAGACATAAAATTATGAGAATCTGGTGCACGTACACTAATTGTTCATGTGGCGACAAAGAGAGCTTGAATACTCTTTTTACACAAGAACTAATACGAAATCCGAAGTGTGTGTACAATTCATTAATTCAAGACAAATCTATGAAAACAAATTGAAATCTGAAAGAAAAATAGAGGATTTCAAGATAATAAACCATACCTTTATTCATACCAAATAAAATTATTTTAAAAATATTCTATTAAATTAGCTGAACAAGATCGATACAATTCAGATCAGTATATAAACCATACTGACTTAATGATAGACAACTGGTGCTTCCAACAGTTTACAAATAACTTTTTTCAGAAGAAGCATTTCTAATTAACTGTTGGAGCCTCGATAAAGAGGAGGATTTCAAAAGAAACTAAATTAAGATATTTAATGTTTCAGATGACAAGAAGAGCAAATAAAATATGTATTAACATATAAAGAGATATAGAGAAATATAGTCATAGGAAAAAAGAAGTAACAACTTAATATAAAAACTTTAAATCAGAAAGCTAAAACTTTAGCCAAATTCTGGAAAAAATTATCAACAACTTGAAATGAGGGATGTAAATTCTTATTCCTAAAGACCCACTGATAGACTGAAATAAAGAGGACAAAGAAATGGCTATGATACTATTCAAACATGAACTCTTCAGTGTTTCACAAGAAATTCTTTGCTTTGTTCACATCATATTATCTCATACATTCACATTTTCTTTTTAAAATTAGACACTTCAGTTTTTTAAAGCAGATAAATCATATTGATGTATCCTTTAGGCTAGTAATGTCAAGTCATGGTTAAAACCGTTAGGTCATGAATATCAACATGTCATGGCTAATGTTATAACTTGTAGACATGAAAAGTATGACAATTACTGATGCTCGTACACTAATTGTTCATGTGGTAACCAAGAGATAATACTATTCTTACACAAGAACTAATACGAAATATGAAGCATGTGTACGAGTAATTAATTCAAGAAAAATTTAAGAAAAACAAATTGAGATCTGAAAAGAAAAATAGAGGCAATGAGCTTTATTGTATAGAGAGGATACAAAAGAATGGGTGACATGATCTATATATACTTAGTGAAAAGATGGTACATGAGGTAAACAAATGTTTTCAGAAAATATAGGTGTTAGATGGATCATAATTCATAATTTGAACATAACAACAAAAACAGACTAACAAAATCACATCTATATTATTAAAACCGAAGTATATTTGAGAAATCTATATTATTAAAACTAAACTATATTTGAGAAGCCACCTTTTATTTTATCTTTTTTTTAAATGAGATTTTCTTTTTCTGATTTTTATAAAATTAAACGGTCACTATTTGATGTACAATTTTCAATTAAAGATTAAGATATTTTATGTGTGTCGAACCATAATGTATGTTGGAACTTCAAATGAAATTTTATCAACTTCCTAACATTGTTATTTAAACCAAACTAAATACCAAAATCACTAAATCTAAATCAAGCTCAAATTCATAAATAGTCGAAAGGTTATTATATTTCTTGAACTAAAAAAAAAAAAAAAAATCCAAACTGGAATGAAACCAAAAAAAAAACAAAAACTACAATTTGAAATCAAACCGGGAACCAAACACCCATGCTTAAACATATATGCTTGGGTCAGAATCTAGTGCCAAGAATAACATCTTAAAATCATTCAGTGGAACTTGAATTAAGCTAATCTAGGTGAGACTTGCAGTGGAAGTAGTTACAGTAATCACCACCACCACCAAAGAATCTTCTAAAACTACCAAGGACCAATGAGATGCCTTGTAGGCCAAGAGTATATTTGCAGCAAAACTCAAAGCTCGGTTCTCATATCATTGCCTAGTTGACTGAACATAATGCCGATATCCATTCCTTGATTCACCGTTGGTATGACTACCGAGTAAGGGCATTGTTTTGAAAATCCAACCTTTTTATTTTTGGATTGTTTTATCGATTTGCTTAGCTCGTTTACGCATTTCTGGAACTTCTTATGGCAGCTTATGTTAGTCATACCTGCCAAAATGGGAAACAAATAACCAGAGGTTTCAGTATGTAAGCCTGTCAACTCAAGAGTCAAGACTATAAGGTTTAGCATATGCAATTCGTTAAGACTATAGCTTAAGAAGAATGGATCACGGTAGTATGTCTTAGATCACTAAACTGAGACCACTGAAGACAGTCTCTTCATATGACGAAAGCAAGATCCCTAAAGCAGTAAAATCACATACGATCACCTGAACCTAACGGCCTTAAACGATAATCACACTCAGATATCCTAGGACTCTGCCCTATTAAAGCCTTTTGTTGAGTGAGATCAATGTAATCAGACTAGCTACATTCTCAAATTAAAGGTCTACCCATTTACTTTCATACATAATCTGTAGTTACATAGAGGGCATATCATTCTTCTCACAATTCACCCAAAAAAACAATAAAGGAGTAGTATGGTATGCATTCTTTGAAGGAATAAAAGAAGTGATTTCATTCTTGAATGGTTTTTACCCTTTGCCTCAACGCAGTTGTCATGGACCATACAACAAGCATCAAGATCATCACAAGGCTTCTCTCCAGGACACCCAAAGTGTCCAATCCCACAATACTTCCCATATCGTATAGAAAGTGCTGAAAACAAACGATATCAAGAAATGTAAGTGAGCTGCTAAGCAGCAAAAACCAGAGGGATACAATGCAGAAAAAATAGTGTCTTACTGTCGCAATTCTTCGCAATGCAGGTTCTTGTGCACTCCTGTCAACAAGAAGACGGCAAAACAAAATCATTAATGAACTGAAAGGAGCAGATCTTTTATTGGAATTTTCCATTTAGTCAATTTTCATAAGCTGATTCTATTTCTTTCTGTCTAATCTTGGAAACTGAGATTCATGGGATGAAATGTCAAAGGAAAGAAAGGTCAAACCTCGCAGCTAACAACATCAACGAGGAAGATGACAAGGAAGAAAGCTCCGGCAAAACGCGTCAAAGCAGAGCGAACTATCATCGTCTCTGTCATCGTTGACTCTCTCCTCTCTCTCTCTTGGTGATTGCCTAGTAAGTAAAAAGAAGCTTCTGGATTTGATTCATAGTCCTTTGTCTTCTTCGCTAAGGTTTCAATCTCATTGGTCGTCCTGCTTTCTCGCCGCTCGTTCCTTATTCATACCAACTTTAGTTATTTTTTTAAACTAGCAGAACCGGATCGGTGTAATTGAGAACAGCATAATAAACCATACCGGTTTAGATTTCAATAAAATTGGACCGACCGTGAACAAAAAAGTTGGTCTTCCTAAAACCCTAGGCGGCCATTTGCTATTTGAATCTTGTCTCCAAAACCCTAATTCCCTCTCTCTCTCTCTGTCACTGTGTGCAATGGCTAGCACGAACAACAACCACAACGAGCAAGGCTCTGAACAAACTAAGAACACGAAGTTACCCTTCGAAGACGTCGATGAATCAATGTGCGATGCCGATGACACAACAAGCGCTGATTACTACTTCGATTCTTACTCACATTTCGGTATAAACCCCTTGAAATTTTCATATGCCTCCTCACTGTTTTCTTCTCTGCAAAGTGCTAACTCTGTTTCCAATTGATTTGGTTTTGCAGGGATTCACGAGGTAAGTGTCTTTGCAATTTGAGTCGAAACCCTCTGTTCTGTATGGATGTCTTGACTTGTTGATGGTGGTGTTTGTCTTATTTTATTAGGAAATGTTGAAGGATGTAGTGAGGACAAAGAGTTACCGTGATGTTATTTACAAGAACAAGTTTCTTGTCAAGGACAAAATCGTTCTTGATGTTGGAGCTGGAACAGGGATCTTGTCTCTCTTCTGTGCTAAAGCAGGAGCTGCTCACGTGTACGCTGTATGTACACATACACTATCTCCTCATTTGGCTTTTGGATACATTTGATTGACAAATGATTCTTTGAATAGGTTGAATGTTCTCAAATGGCTGACACTGCAAAGGAGATTGTTAAGTCTAATGGATTTTCTGATGGTATTAGTCTTTAAACTGTTCTTCTTGAAATGATAGTAATCTGATAGGAGTTGATGTAACAACCAACCTTGGCTGTAAATGGCTATGAAGTGTTCATAAACAGCTTTGTTACTAACAACTGTTTGGTTCTTTTGGTAGGGCAGTTATAACGGTTTTGAAAGGGAAGATTGAGGAAATCGAGCTTCCGGTTCCTAAAGTGGATGTGATTATCTCTGAGTGGATGGGTTACTTTCTTGTTTATGAAAACATGCTTGACACCGTCTTGTATGCTCGCAATAAATGGCTTGTAAGTCACAGTTTTCGCCTTGTTAAACTTATGTGATGATGCCCTCTTTATAGTTTTAACACTCTTCTTTATGCTTTGGGTTATTTGTTGTTAGGTCGATGGTGGGATTGTTCTACCAGATAAAGCTTCTCTCTATCTTACAGCCATAGAGGATGCTCACTACAAAGAAGACAAAGTAGAATGTGAGTGTGAAGTAAAAACCTTTGTCACTTTTTTAATATTCTATACGTTTCCATTTGTTTACAGCCTCTTGTTGTTTCTCCTATACAGTTTGGAACGACGTGTATGGGTTTGACATGTCTTGCATCAAGAGAAGAGCAATCACAGAACCTCTTGTCGACACAGTCGATGGAAACCAAATCGTGACTGATAGCAAGCTACTCAAGGTAATTAGTAAAGTTATACTTAATTACTTACTGATAGCCCTCTTGAGTTACTTTCTTGTAACGCAAATTCTGTTTGTTTTGGCTTTCTAAAGACGATGGATATCTCTAAGATGGCTTCTAAAGATGCTTCCTTCACAGCTCCATTTAAGCTTGTGGCAAAACGGAATGATCAAATCCATGCCCTTGTAGCCTACTTTGATGTATCATTCACCATGTGCCACAAGATGATTGGTTTCTCAACAGGTAACACACTCTGATTATATGATATTCTGAAACAGCAGGCAAAAGTAGGTTCATGCTCTGGGTTCTTTGTCGATGTTTGGAACTCATGAGACAATTACAATATGCAATGCAGGACCAAAATCTAGGGCGACACACTGGAAGCAAACAGTGCTTTACCTTGAAGATGTGTTGACCATATGCGAGGGTGAAATGATCACAGGAAGCATGTCCATCGCACCTAACAAGAAGAATCCAAGAGATGTCGACATAGAGCTCAGTTATTCTTTGAATGGCCAGCATTGCAAGATCTCAAGGACCCAACTCTACAAAATGCGGTAAAAGCTATCTCGGAAGGAAGCAATAGAGCCAATCTCCCACACAAGTCTCATTTATCATCTTGAGGCTGAGAAAGCAGTGCTCATTTGTAGTCAAGTTTCCATTTTTTGCAATGTTTCAGAACAAGAAAACCTAAATTTACCCCCGTGATTCTATTAAATGTTGGTTGGTTGGCAATTTGTATAAATGTAGTATGTGCTCATAACTGAATGGAATGTTAAGAAGATGAGTATGAGCTACTATGTATCTATTAGAATCAGTAGGATCTACATCTCGGTAACTACTTACTCTTGAGAGACTATTACCAGTCTCTGCTGCTACGTAAAGGAGATGCTTCAGTAGAAGAAGCAGAGCAGAAGTTTAGGGATTCTGCTGAGGTGGAGAGGCCACGGCGGTCACAGAAGACGGAGGCCTTGGCAGAAAGGGGTTTAGAGTTCATGGAAGCTGACGTCATTGTTTTCGTAGAATGAAAGATTTGCTTGTCGAAGATGAAATTCGTCTTATCTTAATTTTTTTACTTAAAAGGGGCCATTAAAGTAAAACAAAGTCCATTTGGGCCAAGAAACCAATGATTAGTGCTTCTGACCTAGGTTCATATTCTACCCTCTATTAAAGCATCATTATCGACGTCCTTAGTGTCATATCTTAGGTATTAAAACCTGAAGTTTAAATCGAAATCAGTTAAAAACGGCGAAGACATATGTTAATTAAGAAATGTTTTAAGCACGTCCTTAAGGGCACGTGTCATCGTTAGAGAGGAAGACCGAATGGAGTTAGCAAAGTCGCGTGAACCGTCTCGAAATTATTCTCACTGTCTCTGTTCTCTCCTTCTCTCTCTCTCTCAACGACGACTTCACCAGACCACACCGATCTGTCTTGCTCAGTCCACACCGAGCTCTCCACCGATTTCAACCGACCGCTCACTGCACACCAATCCGTTCTCGTTCACTCCACCGATCTCTCTGCCGAATCGAGTGAACCGTCTCGTAATCATTCACATCGTCTATATTCTCTCTTTCTCTGACTCGACAGTGCACCATACCACACCGATCTGTCTTGTTCAGTCCAGACCGATCTCTCCGCCAATTTGAACCGACCGCTCACTCCACCGATCTCTCCACCGAATCGATTCTAAATAAGGTATTGCTCACTCCTCTGTCCTTCATTTTGAGATTTGATTGTATGTTTGTGATTGAATGATTGGTGTTTGTGATTGAAGGGTTAGTGTTTTATTAAATAAAACTGAAAATTAGGATTTGTGACGATTGAATGCTTGGTGTTTCTGATTGAAAACTAGAGTTGTGACGATTTGATTGTATGTTTCTGACTCTGGTTTTCTTTTTGTAACTTGGTCATTTTAACTCATACTCTACGTTGATTTTAACATGATGTGTGTTCTTATAGCATTAACCTAATGAGTATATGATCATTCACTCATTTGATATGAAACTCATTATATTTGAAACTCATGGATTTGAATCTCTTATCATTCACACATTTTACATAGATATTGATGAGTGTCTGATCATTCACTCATTCATTTGATTTTAAACTCATAGCATGATTTACTTGGTGTATTCTCGCTAAAATGACATTGATTACATGGAGATAGCAAAAAGAATGCATTAATTATGTAACAATTCCGCTGAAATGAAAATGATAACTATGATAGGAGTTTAGTTTGTTCTCAACCAAATCGAATGGATTAGAAACTCATATCATTCACTCATTTTAGAAATACATTGATGCGTATCTGATCATTCACTCATTCGATTTGATTTTAAACTCATAACATGATTTACTTGGTGTGTTCTCGCTGAAATTAAATTGATTACATGAAGATAGTAAAAAGAATGCATTAATTATGTTTAGTTGACGCTGAAATGAAATTGATAACTGTGATATGAGTTTAGTTTGTTCTCAACCAAATCTGAACAGTGAGAAGTTTGTTTGAAAGTAACTCTGAATAAGAGAAGTTTGATTGAAACCATATCACCTTTTAATTTAATTTCTACATAGTTTTGATGGTTGTGTAATGTGTAATAAGTTGTGATTAGACTGTGGTAGTTTATGGTTAGGTATTTATGATTGTAACTTATTATTAGTGCCATGTTTCACCTATTAAACCCCAACCATCCTTCATTATATCATATATTTCCATCATCTTCTTTCTCTCTTCTTTCCTATAACCAGTTACCATTCTGTTTTTTTTTTTTTTTTTTTACGCCCTTCTTTGTTCTTTTT